AGGCGTTTCTATGATCGCATTCAGGCAAATATATTCATTCGCGCGCAGACCCATTCATACTCAGATTCCCTCGCGCTCTGACTCACCCGCGTTCTTTCTCTCGTAATCAGATCTATCATATTCCTTTGCGTTGTGTACCCCGCCACATTTCGGCACACCCCTCATGCGGTTCGTGGCCCCATAGGGAGCGCCACCGAAGAAGATACTCACAATTGCGATACTCACAACTGCATATGGTTGGGTCCCTCGCCCGGACATTTTTTTTTGTGTTAAAAAATATTGTTCCAATCTACACACATGTATGTATGTATGTATGCATATATGTATGCATGCATATATGTATGTATGCATGCATTCATGCATAGGTATGTATGTACGTATGAATGCATATAAGTATGTATGTATGTCTGTATGTATTTTCTGTGTATATATATACATATTTGTATGAATGTGATTATGTTATATGTATGGATTTGCGTTAACATGCATGTATATACGTATATGTATACGTGTGTATGTTTGTATGCATGCATGCATGCATGCATGCATGCATGTATGTATGTATGCATGCATGCATGTATGTATGCATGTATGTCTGTATGTGTTTATGTATGTATGTATATGTATGTGTGCCTGCATGCATGCGTGCGTGCGTGCGTGCATGCATGCATGTATGCATGTATGCATGTATGCATGTATGCATGTATGCAATTATATATGTACGTATGTACGTATGCATGCATGTATGCATGCATGCATGTATGCATGTATGTATATATGTATGTATGTGTGTGTATGTATGTATGTATGTATGTATGTACGTACGTACGTATGTATGTGCATATTATACATACATATAATGTGTGTGTATATACAGATAATCAATAAAGTCGGTTTACATACATACTGGCGAATAGCGCCCAATTGCCCCCAGTAGCGCTGATTAGCGCCAGTAGCGCCGATCAGCTCTCAACTGGCGCTGAAATTGCGCCCAATTGTGACCAATGGCGCCCACAAGCGCCCAGTAGCATTTTAGTATGGTCACATGGCGCTCCAGAGCGACCAGTAGCGTCCAATTGCGCCCAAGAGCACTTGAATTGCGCTCACATAGCGCCCCACAGCGACCAGTTGCGCCCAATAGCGCCGTGTGAAGGAGATGCATGAGGCCCGCTTTTGCGCGCCATGGGTCTCGCTATTGAGCGTCCTGGGGACGACCAAAGGTTTCCGCGAGCTGCTTTCTAACCTGCAGTTCTTCTTATATTCAGTTTCGAATGACAAGATCCGCACAAACACAAGCCTCCGGAGCCCCGCGCGGGTTCGCGGGATCTTCGCTGGGCCCCCCCTGGCGGTCCTCTTGAGCGGCGGCGGCCGCCGCGCGGCGGCTCCAGGGGCTTGGTATCGCTCGACCGATCCCTATCCCCATCTCTATCCCCAGCCCGATCCCCACCATCCCACCACCACAATTGGTGATGTACCTTTCAAAACTCGAAGGGAACCGTTTATGATATTCCATATTTCAATCTAGGGGGCAAATTGGGTATTGGGCCGTGCCACGCCAGTGGGGACAGGCATCGGTTGAAGGATGCTCCGGGGCCCAGGACGCCTCTCGGCGAGACGCAGCCGCTGGAGAGCAGCCCGAAGCTGGAGAACTGTCGAAAGTCGACGAAAACGCAGGATCCGCACAAGGCATCTATACACCACCACCGTGCCTGGCCATGGCCATCCTGGGTCCTCTCTAGTGTATAGGCCTTCCTGACCTCTGGCCACGGGGCGTATACACCATGCCAGGGCCCAGGATGGCCCTAGCGAGGCACGGTGGTGGTGGATATAGATGCCCTATGCGCAGCAGCAGCACCTTGATCCTCGCAGCCCCTCCGTCGAGGCCCCAGGGGCCCCGCTGCGCTACGCCTGCGGAGCGCGCGATGCCCCCGCGGGCCCCGCGCGCTGCGCGGCGCGAGGCGCGGCGCGGCGGCGGCGGCGGCGTTTCGCCGGGGGCCCGGGCGGCGCGGGGGGAGGCCTCCCGCGGCAACTGTCGGCCACGCGTGTGTGTGTGTGTGTGTGTGTGTGTGTGTGTGTGTGTGTGTGTGTGTGTTAGTGTGTTAGTGTGTGTGTGTGTTAGTGTGTTAGTGTGTTAGAGTGTGCGTGCGTGTGTGTGTGTGTGTGGATTGTCGGAGGCGACGATAGGGGCGAACAGCCCAGGGGCGGGCATCATGGTCGCAGCCGATGGCCCATCCTTGACTACCTTCGATAGCCCGCCCGCTGATGAGGATGCTGCTGTTGATGCTGATAATGTTGATGATGATGACGCTGCTGCTGCTGATGATGATGCTGATGATGCTGCTGCTGATGCTGATGATGCTGACGATGCTGATTCTGATTGTAATGATGATGATGATGATTGTTTTGATGACGATGATGATGATGCTGATGATGCTGTTGATGCTGGTGTTGATGATGATGATGATGATGCTGCTGATGATGCTGCTGATGATGCTGCTGATGATGCTGCTGATGATGATGCTGATGCTGATGTTGTTGCTGTTGATGCTGATGATGTTGATGATGCTGATGCTGATGCTGACTATGATGATACTGATGCTGATGCTGATGATGATGCTGCTGATGATGATTCATGCTGATGATGCTGATGATGATGAGGATGATGATGAGGATGAGGACGATGATGCTGATGATGCTGTTGATGATGGTGATGATGATAGTGGTGGTGGTGGTCGTGGTGGTGATGATGATGTTGATTAGGGTGATGATGATGGTTATGATTCTGATTATGATGATGATGATTCTGATGCTGATGGTGGAAGTGATCATGATAATGACGATGATGATGATGATTATGCTGCTGCTGCTGATGATGATGCTGATGATCATGATGAGGATGATGATCGTGATGATGATGATGATCATGATGATGATGATGATTATGATGATGATGATGATGATGATGATGATGATGCTTGATGTTGATGATGCTGATGATGCTGCTGCTGATGATGCTGATGATGATGATGCTGATGGTGCTGCTGATGCTGATGCTGATGCTGATGCTGATGCTGATGATGATGCTGCTGCTGGTGATGATGATGATGATCATGCTGATAATTATGATGATGATGCTGCTGATGATGATGCTGATGATTATGCTGATGCTGATGATGATGACGATGATGATGATGCTGGTGATGATGATGCTGATGATGCTGGTGATGATGATGATGCTGATGATGATGGTGGTGATGATGATGATGATGATGGTGATGATGATGATGATGCTGATGCTGCTGCTGCTGATGATTCTGATGATGATGATGATGATGTTGTTGTCGTTGATGATGATGATGACGATGATGATGATGATGATGATGATGATGCTGATGATGATGATGATGATGTTGTTGTGGTGGTGGTTGTTGTTGTTGTTGTTAGCGTTGTTGTTGTTGTTGTTGAACATTATTTCTTCTTAAGAATAATTATTGTTGGGACCCCTGGTGCGCGCCCCCCCCGCCGCGCCTAGGCCGCAGCCACGTTTTCATCATTTTCGTGAGGAAGCCTCAGGCAAAACGATGTGATCCAGATCCGGTTGTTTTGTTGTCCCCCGCTTTCCCTTGCAAAAAATAAGGTAAAGTGGACATTTCTTGTTCTAACATAATCAAACTTCAAGAATCCCTTGCAACAAATAAGGTAAAGTGGATATTCGCGCGCGCAAGACGAAATCCTTCCAAAACCTTAGTTTTCGTAGCGATTTTTTAATAAAAACATCAAAAAACCAATGGTTTTTCAAACAAAAATTGTCAAAAATTCATCCCGCGCGCTCTTGCGGATTCGTAGGAAACCCAACACTTTTTAAACATTTCTGTCAAACGGGCTTTTGCGAGCAACTTTTTCGAACTTCTGCAACAACGGTTGCGCACCTGCCAGGGCCATCATCCCTGTCAAATAATACCATGCGGGACACATTCGTTTTTTCTTCGCGCGCGCACGCCGTCGTCGTCGGCCGCGGGGCCCTGAATAGTAGCCACGGTCGTCCGCATGCCACGAAGTGAAGTGTCCGAACGTCATAGGGCGGGAAGCTGGGTGTGGGTGGTGGCGAAGAGTCGTTTGGAAATTTGGTAGAGCTTGAACCGGCCCCCCCACAAAGTGGGGGTATTGCCCGCCTCCTATGAAAACCCTGGCACTGGTGAGAACGGAGTGTCCCCACGTGCTAGTAATTGTTGTTGTTGTTGTTGTTGTTGTTGTTGTTGATGATGATGAGGATGATGATGATGTGATGATCGTGATGATGATGATGATGATGATGATGATGATGATGATGATGATGCTGATTGAGGATGATGATGATGATGATGATGCTGATGATGACGATGATGATGATGATGATTGATGATGATGATGATGATGATGATGATGATGGTGATGATGATGATGATGATGATGATGAGGATGAGGATGCGGATGAGGATGAGGATGAGGATGCGGATGGCGATTAGGATGAGGTTAGTAAGAGGAGGAGGATGAGGAGGAGGAGGAGGAAGGAGGAGGTGGAGGAGGAGGAGGAGAGGAGGAGGGGGAGGAGGAGGAGGAGGAGGAGGAGGAGGAGGGAGGAGGAGGAGAAGGAATATGATGAGGAGGAGAGGAGGAGGAGGAGGAGGAGGAGGAGGAAGGAGGTAAGAGGAGGAGGATAAGGAGGAGGAGGAGGAGGAGGAGGAGGATGAGGAGGAGGAGGAGAGGAGGGGAGGAGGAGAGGAGTAGGAGGAGGTGGAGGAGGAGGAGGAGGAGGAGGAGGAGAGGAGGAGGAGGAGGAAGGAGGGGAGGAGGAGGAGGAGGAGGAGGAGGAGGAGGAGGAGGAGGAGGAGGAGGAGGAGGGAGGAGGAGGAGGAGGAGGGAGGAGGAGGAGGAGGAGAAGGGGGAGGAGGAGGGGGAGGAAGCGCAGCAGCAGGAGCACCACGAGCAGCAGCAGGAGGAAGAGGAAAATCAAGCCCCTCAGGCCTCGGCTGGTTCGCCCCAGAAGCGCCCCGCCGCCGCCTGTGGCGCAGCTGCTGAGCCCGGGGCGCCTGGAAAGTGCCTGCGAGCGGAAGGCGCTCATGTGGGCTCCTCCGACCAGATGATGGCGTCGGTGGCCATACTAATGATGATGATGATGATGATGATGATGATGATGATGATGATGATGATGATGCTGATGATGGTGATGATGCTGATGATGATGATGATGATGGTGCTGATACTGCTGCTGATGATGATGAAGACGCGGATGCTGATAATCCTGATGATGCTGATGATAATGACGATGACGATCACGATGACGATGATGCTGATGAGGATTATGATGATGGTGTTGATGATGCTGATGATGATGTTGATGAGCAGGATGATCATGATGATACTGATGATGCTGATGATGATGATGGCGGTGGTGGTGGTGATTGTGATAGTGATGATGGTGATGATGATGGTGATGATTGTGCCTCTGCTGTTGATGATGGTGGTGATGATGATGATGATGCTGCTAGTGATGATGATGTTGCCGATGGTGGTGATCATGATGCTGATGATGCTGATGCTGATGCTGCTGCTGATGATGATGATGCCTTTGCTGCTGATGATGCTGATGATGCTGATGATGCTGATGCTGATGATGATGCTGAAACGATGATGCTGAAACTGATGATGATGATGATGATGATGATGATGATGATGATGATGATGATGATGATGCTTCTGCTGCTGCTGATGATGCTGCTGCTGATGATGATGATCCTGGTGATGGTGATGGTGATGGTGGTAGTTGTGGTGGTGGTGGTGATGATGATGATGCTGATGATGGTGATGATGATGATGATGATGATGGTGGTGGTGATGATGATGATGATGATGATGATGATGATGATGATGGTGATGATGATGGTGGTGGTGATTACGGTGGACATGGTCAGACGGGGAGAGGTATATAGCAGGATCAGGGGAATTAGCAGAACGAGTATGGGAGGGGGTGCCGCCTCAGCGTTGCGGCTCTGCAGGCCCGTGCGTTTAATTCTGAAGAGCCAAGGAGACCTTCGGGGGCCCCCGACAGTGGAGATGGTTCGAATTCCGAGCGATTGACGCGATTACATCAACCAGAGCCCGTCCCGTCACAGCAGGAGCCTGCTGCGCCCGTCCGCGCCGATCCTGGCCGGGAACGTTTTGGGCACACAACAGGTGCAAACCCGTGACAGAGCATCCACTGACACTTGGCCGACATCCGAGGATTGGCGTGGCCAGCATCGGTGAAGACATGTAGGCTCCCGCTCCTGCCCAAGGGACGCCAAGATGGCCCCCAAGGATCGATACCTGTACCAAGCGTCGCTTGTGGGGCTGTGACACCTCCGTGCGATCGCCCGCTGGCCCCAGGCCCCCCGTTTAGCACGGGGCCCGCCAGCCATGCTTCGGCCGCTCGCGGGTTGGATCTTCCAGCTGCCAGGAGGTGAGGAGGGGGGACACGGAGGAGGAGGAGGAGGAGGAGGCGGAGGAGGAGGAGGAGGAGGAGGGAAACCACTCGTCCCTCCCTCGCCCTCTCGTCCAGCTCCTCGTTGACGTCCTCTGGAAGCCTCCTGCTGCTACTGCTGCTGCTTCGCCCCCTCGACCTGCTCCAGATCCTGCTTCCGCTCGGGATCCCTCGTGCTCCTGCTGCTGTTCTTGCACCTCCTTCTCGGCTGGGAGGGGAGGGAGTGCACTGAGAGAAAAGGGTGAAGAGAGGAGAGGGATGGCGAGAGAACTAGGTTTAGGGGATAGGAGATGGCAGGGGGGAGGGGGGAGAACAGGGCAGAGAGGGTGGGGACACCAGTGTGAGCCCGGCCAGGCAGTCCTGCCGACGCCCCCGCAGCTGGCGACCGCTCGCCAGAGCCCTGCTCGCCAGGGCGGCCGTCGCCAGCGGCGGAGGCCGCGGCGGCGGCGAGGAGGGCGCTGGAGCAGAGGCGCATGCGAGTGCTGGAGCGCCGGTTGGCGGCGCTGCTGCCTTCTCTGCCGCGGGCGCGCCTGAGCACGCCGTACGTTCAGGCCCGCCTGGAGGAGTTTCTACAGCGCCCCCCTGGGCGCCTGGATCGCTACCGCGACCACGTGGAGCGCATCTGGCGCGCGTACGCACGGGCCACCGCTCCGCGCTTCGCGGAGGCACCGCCAGCCAGCGCCGCGGCCGCGGCCGCCGCGCCCGCCGTCGGCGGGGCCGCGGGGCGGGTTGCAGGCCTCGTGCCATGCGGCGCGGCCGCGGAGTGCGAGGGCCGCGGCGCCTCTGCCAGCGACCCCGAGGAGGCTGGCCCGGACGCGGTCGAGGTGGACGGCGTGGGCTTCCAGGTGGCGCTGGGTCAGATCCGCGGCGCGCGCACGCCAGGGGAGGCCGAGGCTGTCCTGCGAGCGCTGCTCACCGCGCGGCCCACGCCCGAGCTGCTTCGGTGCTCCGCCTGGGAGCCGGCGCTGGCCCGCCGCGCGCGCGCGGCCGCCGCGGGCGCCTCGAATCGCGGGCTGGCGGGGCGGGTGCTCGCCCGCTGGCGCGGGTTGAGGGCCAGGATTGAGGGGGCGGCGCCGCCGCGGCCCTGCAGTTCCATCGGCGGCAGTGCCGCTGCCGCGGCGGAGCTGGTGGCCACGAAGGGCAGTGCCGCCGCGAAGGACCCGAAGGTGTGTGACGAGGCGCAGCCTGGGCCGTGCCAGCCGAGCTGGTCTGGCCTAGTTGTCGTGGACGGCGACGGCGGCTGAGGCGTAGAGCTCTCCCCGCCCCGTCGTCCTTCACCTTCCGCCTCCAGGATGGGGGGCCAGGATGATGATGATAGTGATGCTGAGGACGATGATGATGCTGATGCTGATGATGATGCTGATGCTGATGATGATGCTGATGCTGATGCTGCTGCTGATGCTGATGATGCTGATGATGATGCTGATGCTGATGATGCTGATGCTGCTGATGATGATGCTGATGATGATGATGCTGATAATGATGATGATGATGATGATGATGATGATGATGATGATGATGATGATGATGATGATGATGATGATGATGATGATGATGATGATGATGATGATGATGATGATGGTGATGGTGGTAGTGATTGTGATGATGGTTCTGACGATGATGATGGTGAACATGATTGTGATAATGATGATGCTGCTGATGATGATGATGGTGGTGGTGGTGGTGGTGGTGGTGATGGTGATTGTGATTGGGATGGTGATGGTGATGATGGTGCTGACGATGGTGATGAGGCTGAACAAGATGGTGATGCTGATGACGATGGTGGTGATGATGAATATGACGATGATGAAGACTATGATGATGATGCTGATGATGATGATGATGATGATGATGATGCTGATGATGATGATGATGATGGTGATGATGGTGATGGTGGTTGTGATTGTGATGATGGTTCTGACGATGATGATGGTGAACATGATTGTGATAATGATGATGCTGCTGATGATGATGATGGTGGTGGTGGTGGTGGTGGTGATGGTGATTGTGATTGGGATGGTGATGGTGATGATGGTGCTGACGATGGTGATGAGGCTGAACAAGATGGTGATGCTGATGACGATGGTGGTGATGATGAATATGACGATGATGAAGACTATGATGATGATGCTGATGATGATGATGATGATGATGATGATGATGATGATTACGACTATGATTATGATGATGACGATGGTATTGCTGGCGATGGTAGTGATGATGGTGATGCTGGTGGTGCTGATGCTGATGATGTTGATGATTGTGTTGATGGTGAGGATGGTGAGGATGATGGGGATGATGATTATGATGATTGGTTATGATGATGATTGGTTATGATGATGATTGGTTATGATGATGATGATGATGATGAGGAGGAGGAGGAGGAGGAGGAGGAGGAGGGTGAAGGAGTTGGAGTCCGGGAGGAATACCAGAGTAAATCCAATATTCAGCAGCGATGATACACCACACTTGCATCCTTGAATCCTCTGCACGTTAAAGATGACATGCGCGGCGCTAAGGGGAGAGCCCCAGAGTGAAAACGCCCGCGCCACCGTGAAGTTGTTGAGAAGTTTACGAAGCAGGTGCAGGGCGCTCAGGCGGGAGCCCCATGCTGACAGGGACCTCTATCCTTGAAGCTGTTGCGACTTTCAGGTTCAGGATTGCGTTTCTCGGAAACACTGAATATGTTGCGCGTCGCGCGCGAGGCGAGATGCTGCTGGAGTGACGTGGGGGATGGTCGATATACCTTCGCATCTTGGGATTCGGAGAGTGAGGGAGAGATGGAGGGACATGATCAGATAAGTAATGACGACGGTGGGGAGGAACGAGGGGAAGGAGGAGGATATCGAGGGCAACGTGGCGGTCCGTAATGCTGTCTGGGCTCTGTTTGAGGCCCCAGGCCCCCCTCGTGCAGCTGTGTCTTCGGGGATTCTCAGGAGCCTTCGGGGGCTCTCCTTTGGGCATTTCGAAGCCTCCCGGAGCTATGAGGGCAGCATCGGGGCCTGCTGGCGGCCCAGGGCCCTCTGAGGGCCTTCTGAGGGCTTCTTTGGGCCACTTGGGGTGTCTTGGGGGCCATCTTCTGCGGCACTCTGGGCCGTTTTGATAGTCTCTTGGGCTGGCTTGGGCCAGTACGGGGGGCCTCTTGGGCCGTCTTGAGCGTGCAAACGCCAGAGAGCCGAGAACGCGGAAATCATGCAACAAATGATGGGACATCAGTTTTTTGCCTCTTGGCGCTCTCTGCGCGGGGGTCCTCTTGGGGCTTTATTTTGGCGTCTTCGGCCGTCTTGACACTGTCTTGGGTAATCTTGAGGCCTCTCCGGCGTATTGGAGCTCTCCTGGCCATCTTAGAACATATCTTGGGATCACGGCTGCCAGAGAGGGTGGATTTGCCACGGGTGGTGCGCGTCGGGAAGCCTTGGGACCCCCTCCCCTCCCTGGAGCCTGGGGACCCCCCCACTCAAACGCGATTTTGGACCCTGCGGGAGGGGGAAAGGGGGAACGGGACCGCCAAAAGTCTCACACGGCTTTTCTCCCCCGGCAGCAGGGGGTCGGCGGATTTGAGAGGAAAAGTGGTTGAGGAGGACGAGGAGGGATGACTGACGATGAGGAGCGGGGAACAGGAGGAACAGGAGGAGGAGGAGGAGGAGGAGGAGGAAGAGGAGGAGGAGGAGGAGGATGAGGATGAGGAGGAGGAGGAGGAGGAGGAGGGGGAGGGGGAGGGGGAGTGGGAGGAGGACAAGCTAGGTGCGCGTCATATCTGACGTCCTACCCCTCCCTCCCATCCCTTACCATGGCGCAGATCTCCTATTCGCACAGTCGGATGTCGTAGCAAGGCATAGCAGTACATGGCATAACATGTTGTTGAAGATCAACGCTTAGCCTGATATAGCATGGCGTGGCAACGCCCCAAAGGGGGGGGCTTCTGCGGCCCCAAAAATCAACGACACCGAATGTGTAATCACTTCCAATGGTTGTTTCGGGGGACCATTTTCTAGATTTTGGGGCCTACGGTCAGGGGGTTTCGTTTAGCGTGTATCGTAGCCCTGCCGGACCCGGGTTGTCAGGTACACGCTAAACGAATTCAGCGAGCCAGATACACGCTAAACGCACCACAGATAACCACCAGGGGAGGTACACGCTAAACGCTGGGGCCAGTTTAGCATGTACCCCTTCCCCCGTCCATGCGTGTGCCCCTCCTGGCCACTGCCCTCCCACGCCCCTCATCTACTTGGAGGGTGCTCTGGCTTCTCGGCCCATCCCACCACCTTACCTTTGTCGTCCTGGGCCTCTTACCTTTGTCGTCCTGGGCCTCACTGGAAACCCGGCGAGGCACAGAGGTACACGCTAAACGAAACCGACGAGTATTCGTAGGTACACGCTAAACGAACCGACGAGCATTCGTAGGTACACGCTAAACAGCGAGCTAAAAGGTACACGCTAAACGCCGGACTCGTTTAGCGCGTATCCACCGACCCTCAGGATACACGCTAAACGAACCCCCCTGACCGTATTTGGAAGGACCGGAAACCATGCCGTGGCATGGCGCTGGAAATAATGACGATGGCGCTGCAGCGGGAGCACGATTCGGAACGAGCGGAAGCGCGGAAATGAGGCCAGCGCTGCAGCGGGAGCACGATTTGGAACGAGCGGTAGCCCGAAAATGAGGCCAGCGCTTCAACGAGAGCAGCATTTTGAATGGGGCGGGAATCTTGTGTGGGGCGAATATTTCCCGGACGTCACCAAGGGAGAGGAGAGTAGTATTCAGATCCTGTAATTGTGGAGGAGGGAAGCCAAGTTAGTCAGGTCGGACGAGTCATAGGTCCCCGCCCAATCTGACCCTCCCTCCACCAACAACGCTCATCAATGGTGGCGCAACTTGATATGGGGATTTGAACGCATTCCCACCTGGCAAATGGAAGACGGTCTCGCACGGTCCGCTTCCGACATCTAGGCGACAGGACAGCCCTTCGCAGAGGCGGGAGTGGAATTCCTTAGCTTTATCTTTTTTTCAGGCGGCCAGATTTCCGATGAGCGCGGCGAAGACGAAGCATGCGCCGCGCCAAAATGACACTTCAACTTTCGTGCACACGCTGCGTGGCGCTTGGGCCCGCTCTCGCGCGGCCCCGCTGCTGGTGCTGTTGCTCGGCGAGCGAAACGTGCCGCGCCCACGTGGGAACGCCACTTCCAAGAGAAAGGTGGGTGGAGCTTCGGCGAGGGCGAACAGTCGCCCGCTCGCGCGGGCCCCTCAAACTTGGCGAGTGAAAAATGTGCGCCGCGCGCCCAAACGAGAGTTCAATTTCTAGGAAGGATGAGCACGGCGCCCAGGCGAAAACGACAATCCGCCCTGTCGCGCGCGATGTGCGCCCCGTCACGTCACATTCAAGCCATGTCTTCTGCAACGCCGATACAAAAACGTCATTGTTGACCGCAGTACCGTTTACGTTGCATTGTTTGTCCGGTAGGATGGCAGGCGCAGATTGGTTTGCTATCGGCAGGCTCGTTGGCAAAGTCGGAGTATACACTTACGGAGTAAGGCGAGGGAGGGAGGGACGGAAGGAGGACGAGGAGGAGGAGGAGATGGAGGCGGAGGCAGAGGCGGAGGCGGAGGTGGAGGAGGATGAGGAGGAGGAGCAGGAGGAGGAGGAGGAGGAGGCGGAGGCGGAGGCGGAGGAGGAGGAGGAGGAGGCGGAGGCGGAGGAGGAGGCGGAGGAGGACAACTGTAAACCCAAGACTCATTAACGATATTGGGATATACCCTTCCTTCAAGCCCCCTCTGCATAGTGGGCCCCTACAAGGGTCCATGTCCACTCAGGGAACTGCCTCATTGGGAGACGAAAGTTGGAAGATCCTGAAGCTTGCTAAAACACCTTTCCCGGGACTCCAACGCCACGAATCAACTGGACTGTATGTAGCGTCTTGAGGAGCCTGAGTCGTACCATAATGCAATCCTGTGGCTTCAACACCCCGAATCAGCGCAATTTTGGCGCCCTGACTATTTCGAGTCCTTCCAAAACACACGCACACACT